GTTATTTTAGTGAAACTGATGATGGTGGAAAACACCGAAACGTTTTTTTAATTGATAAATAGACAATAAATGACTGAAGAACCCAGGATTTGATTTTAATTATATTTTATATTCAGTCACTTAATGCTAATAGCCATTTCAAGCATACAGGGTGATTCACGGTCGATGGCGTATTAGACATTTAAGGAGAACCCGACGCACGATCTACCTGCAAATTTGGACAACGAAGTCATCGGATATGCTCTATCGGTCTAAAACCTTTCCGTCATGGGCGGTTGCCACTTATATTGAAAAGTACATACAACTTTGATATTTTAAATGATACACCCTGTATATTATTGCACGCTTACCACAACTTTGGTTAATTTACACGTTTAAATACTTTATTCTATTTTGCTGCTATCCGAACTTCAAATTAATTTTAAAACTTCTAATTAACCGAAAACATCTGAGTTGGACAATGTAAAACCGATAGATATTCACGAAAATAATAAAAAGTAAATATGTAAAATATTTTATGTATAAGGGTTGGAAGTACGTATTTTTCATTTTTGTAATTCTTTTTTTCTGTTTCTTGATACCGATAATTCACCGAGTCCGCATCGACTGCAACTTTGCCTCACTCCTAAGAATCGAAGCATTTTAAGAGTTAACTTAATACTTATTGTGATTTTGATGATGATTATAATAATAATAAAAAATATTTTTAAAATTTGTAAAACATTAAATACGTCAGTGATGATCAACAAAAAATAAAGAAATGAATACATTTTGCTATTTCCGTTCACATAGTCTCGCAATCTTGCTGATTTGATCACTCGAATAACATACTTGGACACTAAAATAGATTGGACGCTAAAAATATGCAAATTCGACGTGATAAATTAACATTTTTATTGTTGTTTCAGATGATTACGATTTCCATTTTACTGCTGATATCGTTGCCACTGATATCGAAAAGTACATACAACTTTGATATTTTAAATGAGACACCCTGTATATTATTGTACTCTTAGATTGGCTTTACAGATCTGATTATTTTTGCTTAACGGTTTCTGTATCTATCTAAAGCGGTTTCATAAATATTAAATAAAATTCATTCTTTTTTTTTAGGAAATTTAACATTGATACTGGGTTAGCAAAGCCCTATGCTTGATCCTCGTGTACAGCAATTTGTTCTAAATTGTACTGGATGTCTTGAAAATACTGACCTTTTACTATAATAATAGTTTTTGATATAAGAGGCAGCCTCGCATTGCTGAAAAGATTTTATGCGGATAGAGCAGATCCGATGTCTTCGTTGCACAAATTTGCAGATAGATCGTGCGCAGTCTTTATCTATGATCGTGCGTCGGGTTCTCCTTAAACGTCTAATACGCTATCGACCGTGAATCACGCTGTATATTTGGTGAAATTATTGAGGAATGTGATTTATTACATTTATCCAATTTGTGGATTTTCTGCAGTGTGTGCACACCAGATTCCTTCTTCCTTTTTCTTATTATTAAATCAATGTTCGTTTTTTTTTATATTTTCAGTACATATCGTATGAAGGAAGGGTCCTACGAAGAGGGCACATCTGATGACGAAGCTGATTCCATTCTACCTGACATTCCCTCAAATAGCAACGTATTTCAAAAGTTGGTAGGTTCAACTTCAACTTGATCGCAAAATGTTTACTTGAATAACTTGATATGATTATTTTCTATATGTTATATTTTCCATAATTTTCTTCAGAGTTTTAACCACAACTTTGCATAATTTACCCCAAAGTTGGTTCAAAAACAAAAATCAATCGAGATTAATTCAGATGAACAAAGTTACTTCAGTTTTTGCATAGTTGGAGAGTTTTCACCCAATCGAAAGACCTTTAGAGATCGAGAAAATTGCCGTCATAGCCTAGTCAGGTAAAAGAAAGAAGCTATGTTGTAAGCGTTTCGGCCAAAATAATCGACTAGATATTTAACTATATACTGATGGACAAAATTAGCACACCTTTTAAAGTTGAAAGAAAAATATTATAAACCCAACATACTTTTATCAGTAAAAAAAATAAATAAACTCAAATCATTGTTTTATAAATTCCTATGAATGAAGGTTTTGTAGCGTTTCAGGTGTTATTTAGCGTAATTCACACACAAATATTACTTAAATTATTATGTTTTTCTGACTACAATATTGATGAATTGTTTCTAATTAGGTTAGTGCATCGGAGCGTTCCGGAAATAATTCCGTACTAGCTAACCATCCGGATATAACTCTTATCAAAAAGGAAAAAACCGATGGTCCAGTAAATAATAATTCAGATCATTCCGAATCGGGCAGTGATAAGTAAGAAACAAATTCCTCACCTGAATCTAAATGCATTTCACACATAAACCTAAATTGATACTGTCAATTTAGCTGAACTTTTGTGCAAAAATTTTCATTGATACGATGATATGTGTGATCAGTCATTTTCCATAGATGTATTATATATTATATTTCAGTTTTAAGTATTTTATACAGACCAAAGTAATTTAGTACTATCGTCTCCTTAGGTGGTAAGATAAGATTTGTGTTTTTGGTTTAGTGAAAGGTAAATCGTACCGTAAAACCTGAGCAGGAATCAAATTCTTGAAATGGTTTTTAGTTTCAACATTTTTTTCAAGTCTGATATATCTTTTACTATTCCCAGGCAACACCCTATAAACTATTTAGTATTTGTGTTAGATAACTGGGCTTAGAGGCGTAAGACCTGTAGTGTAAATACGAGAAAAAATGTGATTTTATATTTGCGCTTTAAATCAACTGTATTATTATATTTATTTTTATATTCTATCAGTATGTTTGCAAATACTTTAATTTAAATTCATTTATATTTTCTTGTAGACAATTTCTTATAATTGTGGTAGTGAAATTCTATTTAATTACTTTGCAAAGCCAGTTTTTCTTTGTGAATATTGAATATTTGCTCTTCCGCAATTAAGTTTAACACATTTTTAGTTTTATTTTATGTTTATTACAAAATTATAATTAGATGCATTTAACGTAGGAGTTTATACTAGAGGTTTTAAGGTGCTGGTACATAACAAATTTTTATATTAATCAATTCGAATATATACCTACAACTTTTTGTCGACCGGACATTTTAGTCCTGTTTAATGTAAAGTAAAGTCGAGGAAAATGAAATATGTAACGTAGACGATGGGCATATTAATTTATAGTGCAGTTCCAATTTGCTGCCATTTGGAAAGAATTATGTGAGCGTTCTAACAGAGTAACTAAATATTTAATAAAAATAATTTAGAATGAACAAAACTTTGAACTAATTAGCCTCTACTATAACTTCCTGTGAGGGATGCTTTGAATTACCACTCACATTTTTGTGGATTCACACGAATGTGAGTGTTGTCGCATGGCTTCAATATTTTTGGAAAAATCAAGCCGAAATAATGTTAGGCTTGATTTTCGCCTCGCCGAAAATAGTAATAAAATATCAATTTTGTAGTCCTATTATAAGTTTATTAATTTACAAAAGGACTAGATATGTATAAAGTGAAAGCAACTTATTTAAGACCTTACTTTTTATAGACGTTAACTGGCAAAAGTTTTATTTAGAATTCTAGTTCAAAATAGCGATTTACAAAAATCAAATTTGTCCACGAGAGACTGAGTTTTCACAAAGATTATTTATTAGTTACTAAATTTGTTTGTTTCGTAGTCATATATGTATTTTTTTATGATTATTGTTTAAGTGCTTCTGTTTTGTTACTACGACGTTGTGTGTGAAGATGAATAATAATAATCGTCAATGAACAAAAATACTTACTAACAACTGCTTGCAAAAGGTGCATAAGTACATATATTTTGGAAAAAATATCTTAATATTCCTTTTTTAAGAAAGCTCAAGGTTAAACTGATTTCAGGCCGATTTCAATAATGCCAGATTAAAATATGTTGCAACCCTCTTACATTACAACTTTTTTAAAAACGAACTTCGTCCCTTGTACCTGATTTATCTCTCTAGTATTTGTAGTATTTAGTTATCAAGATTTTAACTGTCACGGTATATCAACGACAAGTTATTGATTTATATTGCTAACTCATAAAAAGTATCATTAGTGAATATTTGAAGCATGCAACTATTTTTGAACTATCAACAAAAACGAGCATGGTTTTCAATCAGTATATCGAGTTATTGACGATTATTCAAGTGAATGTTTGAAAAAATAGGGCAGAGTGATAGCTACCAAAATGTATATAACGCAATATTTTATCAATACTATAATGGTAAATAGACCAGAACTTTGCGATTCATGTGCGCACTGTATTAGTAAGCAGATTTTCAAAATTAATTTTTGTGGTCATATGATCAAATTTTCTGGCTTGATTGGGAGATTTTGTTTCAGCTTTATGCCAATTAATAATGTAACCAACTGGTTATATGTATTTTGTTAAACCACCATTTTTGGGGTATCGGTTAAAATTGTAAGTGATTAATCTCATTGTAGTCGTAATCGAGTGTTCATGAATACCAAAGCATTACAGTATTATACGTTTCAATCGGTTAATAAGGAAATCTGCTGATATTCAATTTACAGGATGTTCCAGAGTTAAGTAGATATCTTTTAGGCAACAAGAAATTTTTGAAAAAAAAAATTCTATAGTTGAAAACAACTTCGGAGTCAATATGAAACTTTCTCATTCAATTAAAAAAACTATTAAATTATTTTTTCTTGGGAATTATAAAATTTTAGGAACTAGTTGCCTAAAATAACTACTCTGCACGTGTTTTGAAAGGTTCTAAAAGTTCTGGTCAATATTAGAATAGCATTAGAACATATCACATAGTCTTGTACAGGAATACAGAACTGCGTCTCAAAATTTATTCAGGTAACTTAAATATGACTACATTACAGTTGTAAACGACCGCATGCCTATAATTGTATATAATCTTATTATTGATTTGACTGTGTTATAAAAAATATATTTAATGATAATAAAGCTAGTCTGGCCTGCGCTCATAAAACTTTACTTCAAGTAAACGAAAAAGTTTAGTCTAAACTGAAACATTCCTTAAACTACTCTAGTGTATAGCTGTTTACTTTCAGTCATTATTACAAATTATTTATTTCGATAATAAAATGTTATCTTGTCTAAGTTATCTGAATAAAATCGCAATCCTACATCTAGTGCTTTAATATTGTAGTTATAAAACGAATGTCTGTAAATTTTAAGATGGTGAGTATTAACTCCACATACATAATTGGACAAAAGTAATTATATGTAGATATAAAATAATATTTCTAGATGCTTTCTAATGTCTAAGTTGAGTGGTCTCTTGATATAAGGATGATGCACATTTCCAACAAATCCCGTTTCTCCAGTTATGAGGCTTACAAACTGATGTAAATAATTGGATTACTTGAAACGCCCACGTAATGACGATAATGAGATTGGGATAACGAGTGCATATCGCAATATATTTTCTTCACTTTCAGTATTTGTAATTTGTGTGTATTATTATTCCTTTGGTTTAAATGTAGTAACGCTGTAGGTAGATTCCTTAATTAGACATATATGTTTAGCCTAGATGAACTAGAGTTTCGTCATGTAAGGACTTGTCATATACATATATATTTGTATTAAATTTGATCACAAATTCGTGAACATTCTGTAATCTCTGAATGTTTCATTATATCATATTAAATACTGTATACCGTTTGACGTTATTTAAATTTTTTTAAACCAGCAAAAAAGTAAGTAAAGTGCATGCGAGTCCCAAAGATATACTGAAACATTTCAATCTGTGACACCCGTATGATTATCAATTTGTTGAGTGCCTATTTCATAAGTTTAAAATAGAAGTTCTATTTGTATAGTAACTAAGTTTGATGATCTGCCGCATATGATTTTCGTTTCAACGTGTAAAATTACTCATTTTCATATGTTTTGTATTAATGCCCAAACACTTGTTTTTACATTTGAACGGTATTCTTAGAATCTCTGAACTAAATTTGTTGCTACCTCAAACGAACTAGACATTCTTACTTAATAATCGCAATATTTTTTTATTTTTAAATCCATTCATGTATTTTTACTTTCTTCTAAGTCGTAGAGATAAATACGTAACTTTTTAATTCGCCACATTTCCTAGAGGTAATTGGGCAATTTTTGTAGCAAGTTTGTATGACACACACCCTACTTAATATTTCGGATTATGAGTTTTATAATTACTATTTGAATTATAACTTATACATACCATGAATATTTAATAATGTTGTATTAAGTATAATTCCTTTTTTTATTTATTAAAGATTTTGATATGATTTTTGCTGTTTTACTATTTGCCTATATCGCCTAATTGGTTTAGCATGAAAGCTGGGAAAACATTGTGTTTTGAAATGAAAAGCTTATTGAACGATTTAGAAAACCTTTTAATTTTAACTTTTTAGATCCGGAGCATACATACAACAAAATCTCTAAATTATTTTAAAACAATAAATTTGCATAAAATTCCTTAACATACTTACAAAATATACGTAACAGAAATAGAAACATGTGCATATGATTAATACTGAATCTCAGCTTAACTTTAATTAATTAATTTCGTATAAAAATACGTTATTATTAATCAGGTAATGTTTGTAACATGCAGATAATAAAACACATTTTTTAGGTCAAAATAAAAAAAAATTCTATATGTTTTAAAATGAACCAGACCACGAATAAGCCATGAGTAGCCACGTAGTCGAAATCCTAGTTCCTATTTTCGGTTAATTTAAATTAACAGCCATCAAAGCGTTTGCTATTCGGTTATAATCTGGGTCTGTGTAAGCGCGCGGATTGTAGAAAGGGCAGTACTTTCTTGTATGTGAGTACGATCCAGTGGCTCCGCAGATTTCACAGACGTATCTGCAGAGAAACTTCTAACATTCTGCACATGTCCAATTTTATTTGAACACTTACCTTCTTAATATTGGACAAGTCACGTTGCCATTCGATGATCTTGTAAAGTGGGACGTTACAAGTTCCTTTGGTTCGCCGTTCTTCAGACAAAACCGGCAAGATCTCCAAATAGACGCTGGTTCTGATGGTTCTGTTTTATAAGCATTTGATAACTTTCGTGGTAAAGAATTGGATTTCTTCGGTATGTTCTTATGAGGATTTTTCTTCGGATGCTTAAACTGCAATTTAATGACGAATGAAGTGCGAGTTATGTTTTAGTTTCATAGCGTACCTGATTTGGAATTTGCGGTTTCGGAGTTTGATAAACAGTTGATAAACTTGGGTTATCAATGCTGAAATCGTTGGAAGGTTTTTTTATTTTGTTATTGTCGATTTGTCTTTTTGGGCAAAAATTGCATGAATTTTGATTTTCCATAAGTTTTTTTCTAACAGGATGGTTTTGCAGCTCAGGCAAAGCTGAATTCTGCAGAAACTTTGATAGATACAAGGCTTTTTCTTGTCGCTCTTTTTTCGAGTTGGCTGGAGATGTTAATTTTTTAACTCCAGCAGCAAACTGTTGTGATGATTCCGATTCATAAAGAGCTGGTATGATTCCAGTAGAGAAATTTGTCCATGATAAGTGAGTTTTATTATCCAAGGGACTGCTTGTGTATATGATTCCTTCTGTAAATAATTTTTTTTTTAATATGTCGCAAGTGCGCGCTTTATTTATTATCTTTCATTGAGGAACAGTTCAGTGAATTCAGGTTTAGTTGATTTCAGAACTATTGCCAAAAAATCCAAAAGCAAAATTGTAAACCGCAAGTATAGTTCGATTTCTTTATAGTCCCCGCATGTAAATTTATTTTCTTATAAAGTAAAACATTGTTATAATTTTTTGTTTCTCTTTTAGCTAAATCCTCTTAAAGCGCTTTAAGGGTACACCTACCAATATAATTAATATGCTATTAGATTATTTATTTTTTTCTTGATCCCCTGATGGAAAGTGTTACATTATTTTACACATCAGTGTGCAAAATAATACAAAAAATAGCGCCTTGCAGGGAAACCTGAGTTACAGGGGAATCACATTCTGCTGATAAAAAAATTGCGTTCAGCTGATGAATTTAAAAATTCTGTGCACAGCGGGAACGCGCGTATCGTATAGGGGAACCCCGTAATGCTGATAAAAAAAGCGCGCACACCGCAAGAGCGCGTATCGTGCAGGGGAACCCTATATTTACAGGAAACCCTCTTTTGCTGGGATAATAAGCCTGCACAGAGTCGAGAAAGGCGGTCAGTCCCGTATTTTTCTCCACATCAGATTGTGTTTCTGGAACGCGCTTCAGAGTACTTTTGAGTGGACAGAACCCGGCTGATTCCAACTTTTGAAAGGCAAATGTAAAGTAGATTTAGTCTTACATATTTCTGAATTTTAGTCGGAAAGCAAATCACCTGTTTTTTCTATTGACTTTTTATTACACCTTATTTTTGCATAACAATTAGTTCCTGTTGGTTGCCGTTCTTCTATATTCTAATTTTTTAAATTTTGTATTCAATGTATTTTCGCTCATTTATGAATTTTGTCAGTCACTCTAAATCGAATTTGATACATGTTTTGAAAAAAGTGGAATAACTGTTAATAAAAAATTGCAAAGATGTGACAGAATGCGAAGAAATTTTGAATAAATGCAGCTTAATTATTAACTCTTTTACTTTGTTGTCTAAATATAATTAACCAGGATTTAGCGAAAAAAACGACTCCAATACGGAATTTTCCTCAAGAGTCAAGCTCACTTTTTGAAGTAGTTAAGAAATATTTCCTAACTATAAAACTACAAACAATTGAGAAAAAGTTTCACACTGGGAAGCAGGAAACCTTAAGTATTCAGTAACTTCTTAAATTACCTTGTTTAGTGATACATTTTAGACATTTGTTCAAAAACTAGGTAAACCGATCAATTATAAGCAATAACACACAAAGCTCTGTCTTGATATACAGAAAATTGAACCGGAATGTGAATGTGAACCACACTTACCCTTATATTCAACGGTTGAAAAACTGTAAAGACAACCGCTAATCATAATTTCGCTACAGCCGAAAAAATCGCCTGGATATTGATAACTTTTTGCAGACCGTCCAGATTCGCCAATAAGCGATAGGAGCTTTTTCACATATAAATCGTCAAAAACTTCATCTTCTTGAACCTTTTCCGAAGTCAACATATTCGAATCGAACAAATCCATGCCCAATGGAGGAAGATTGAAGCAGGAGTAAATCAATTTGCAAATTCTGGATATTCTGATCCATTTTCCGTTAAACTTATCCCTACCACTTGGAGCGGGATATCAAAGACTAAAGAACCGCCGCGTAAATCAACAGCGGCTTGCAGAAAAAAAACCTTTGAACTGCCGTCAATGGTTACCGTGGATTATGATGAGTCGTTTTCTCTTTGTTACTCTGAAGGAGTTATTCCTTTCTTATAGAAAGAGACAAAACTGGAACCAAAAGTTTTTAATAAATAGCATTTTAAAGTCCTATTGAACTGTTTTGATTCTCTTCCCCAGTAAGGAAGATGGAAGTTTTACAGTGGTTGATAATGAAGGAAAAACCTTCTACTTACTCCCTTCCCATGCCATAAAATCGGAGTAGTTAATGCATTTGCCTACAGAACTGCCTCGCTCCAATGTTTAACATTATATTTCTCATTTTCAATTATGTTCAAATTTTATTCATTAAGTCTTTCAAAGTCTCAAATCTGCTTTTTTTCGTTTACCACTGTTCTCAAAACTGCCAACATTTTATTTAACTTCGTCTCTCACTTTTCTTTGTTAGAGAGAATTACTCACTTTTATAATCCACTGTTCTGCGTTTTTTTAAACTTAAAAGTCTTTATTATTCTATGCTTAAAAGTTTTAAACCGTTTACGGACAAATATATTTAGCCTCAAAAGCCAAGCTGCCTTAAAAATGTATTCTGTATACAGCGAGTCCCAGAAGCAAAGTTTAATTTTATTTCAGGCGATTTTTTATACCAAATTTATTTATACAGGGTGATTCAAAAATAAGGCGACCATCAATTTTTTTTTCAAATAGAAGCACCCATTTTTTATGTCAATTTTGATTGAATTCTAAGTATGATTCAGGTAATATGTGCTATACTTGAACTCAACAGTAATCGAGAAATTTCTTTCAACTGGACTGAATAATTAGATTATAAAAACGTTTTCTTTTAAATGTCTGTAATTCTGAAAAGGGCGGCCGGCCACAAAAAGAAATCTATCGGAGTCAGATCTGGCGATGTAGGAGGCCATTTAATTGATTCCCTCCTTCCTATCTGCCAATAGGGAAAGGTTTCATCCAAACATTTACGCAAATCGCCGAATAGTGTGGAGGAGCACCAAATTGCTGCAAAATCAGTTCTTTGTCAGAGAGCCTGGCGCTAATGACTACATAAAGGCACCAATTCTGGAACTGATTCAAGTTAGAGAAATTCGATATATCCAGTCGAGTTGGAAACTGTTCAAAGGAAAATCGTTCACACCACACAATATGGATAATTTTCTCGGTTCACATAGCCATTTAGACAGAACGTAACTTTATCGAAAAATATAATGTTTTTTCTTAAATTTTGTATAGAATGCACATATTTTATATGCTTTCTCAAAGCTTCTAACTTTTTACCTATCGAATTTGCCTATCGGAATCGTCTTCAAATAACTCTAGCACTGGAATAACTTTTGCCTTCGAACTATTAATTTGCACTTTCGAACTATTCTGTGAGCAATAGATTTCCGCATGTGTGAATGGCCCCAATCTGCAAAAAACTGATTTTCTTCCAAAGAAAGTAAAACCTCAAGTTCATTTTCATGCTGAGCAAAACGTGCAGACGAACCATTGGAGCTGCTTTTATTTGGGTGTGTGTTGTATCACCAAACCCAAAAAAATTCGATTTTTTCTCGTTCCATTAACTTCACCATTTTGAAAAACGTAAAAATGTTACGTATCAGAAACAAACGATCGTACGCATTCGAATAAATGTATTGTTTTCTTCTTTTGCATCTTGTTATTTTGGTAAATTATTTTTGCCTCGTAAATTCTTCGCGTCCTGTTCAGTTGAGGAATAAAATCCAACAGCGGGTTGTGCTCTTATGCTGGGTTTATGTCGCCAAACGATAATTTTTATAATTTCATATTGAACAAAAGTCTGAATTTCTACTGCATGACCCCCCCTAACTTGAAAGCTGGATGCGCCGCTGCTCAAAGTATGATATTCAAATTTGGCTTTCTGGGCAAAACTTCTCGAATTTCCTCACGCATATTGTTATGACTGAATCGAATTTTCAATTCTCTACTCAAATGGTTCTTGAGAAACTTCGAAAAGAACAACGTCATGTTTGAGTCGATTTTGCAACTCAAAAAAAACTACCAAATATAATACTTTTAGAAAGAAAAGCGCTCTTGATCATCTTGCACCTAAAGGTCTGATATTCAAATTTCGCTTTCTGGGTCAAAACTATTCGAATTTGCTCAATCATGTTGTTATGACTAAATCGATTTTTCAATTTTCTATCCAAAGATGCCAAAACGAATTTTGTGGCTCAAATGGTTCTTGAAAAACTTTGAATAAAGCTGTGTCATGTTTGAGTCGTTTTTGCACCTCAAAAAAAAACACGCAAATCTAAAACTTCTTGAGATCAAGACTTTTTTGAGAAAACTGCCCACAATTTCTTACCTGTGGTTCACTTTCTAAAAAGGCCATTTAGTTCTCTCTGGAATGATGTAAAAATGATCGTTCTTACTTATTTTGCTTCCGAGAAATGATCAAAAACGGGACCGAAAACATACAATTTTGGCCTAACCTTGCACCTTAATATTCAAATTTCGCTTTTTGTGTCAAAACTACTCAAATTTCTTTAATGAAATTATCTTTCCAACGACCGGAAAACTACAACAGAACCCGAACAACTTTACTTTACAAAAAAGTAATCAAAGTGATCGCATTCGACGTAGTTATGGAACAGTTACTTCTGCAACAACTTTAGTTTAATGATAATATGGCTTAATAAATTTATAAAAAAAAACGAACTGAATGTACTCTTTGGAAAGTTTATTATAAATATTTATTCCACAGTATAAAATCAGTTCAATCTTCAATATTGATACGAGCTCGTGTCCAACCCGAAAGATTTTACTTGGTTATCGATCCAATCTCTAAACATTGGCAAATTCACGTAAACACCCGGTGTATTGTTTTCGCCGCATCCGATTCCCCAAGCAACAATTCCCATCTGGTAGTACCGGTTTTGCTGTCCTTGTATCGGGCATACCAATGGACTACCTCCATCTCCTTTGCACGTGTCCTTACCAGGAACTCCTCCAGCGCACATGAACGATTGATGAAGCTGGAAGTACTTGCCCAATCTAGTTGACCGCAACTGTTGCTCGCATTTATCATGAGCAACAATTGGCAGGTCAATTTTCTTTAGAATCACCTGGTACTTTCCTTTCTGGCCGAATTCGTCTTTGCCCCAGCCAGTAGCGTAGCATGTGGCTGAATTAAGAACGGTACTTTGAGGGGGCAGACAAACCACATTCACGTTTTCAGCGATTTCAAATGGCGATTTCAGGTGCAAGACAGCCACATCATTATACAGCGCGCCTGCATAGTACTGAGGATGAGTTATAACTGTTTGGACTTCACGATCTTGATGTGGGAGCAGTTCTTGGGTATGCTGGGTATCCCATTCACCTGCGCGTACCTTAAACACCTTGTTCTTTCCGCTAACGCAATGCGCAGCAGTTACCACCACTTGGGGATGGATCAGCGCTCCACCACATTGGTAAACATTCAGGACATTCGCGTTTCCTGCAACGGTTTCTTCTCGAAGCACAGCCACCATCCAGGGAAATTCTCCAAATTCGGCTTCGTTTTCCATTTGGCCTTTGATCCGGAATCCAACTCCTTCTTCGTGACGGCGCCCACATCCCACTTCTTTTATAACCGGAGGAGCGGGAGTAATTGGGTCGGTTGTTTGATCTTTCTTTTCGCAACAGACTTCGATGTAAGTTTCACAAGGTCCATCGTTTGACCTGAAATATTGGAAATTATTTTAGTTAGATCATGGGAAAAGCTTAAGAAATTCTTATGTCTGCAATAAGGTTGCTATATACGCCGATGACACTGCTATATTAACTTCAGATCCTAACCCATCATTAGCTTCCCAAAAATTTTAAAACTACTTTAACAAAATCGGAAATTGCACACATTCGTTAGTATTAAATTAAAAATAAATCCCTCAGAATTCTCATTCGCGGACGAAGCGTAAGCAACTAAACCTAAAGCTAAGAAAAATGTACTGTTTACTAGGAAGAAGATCCAAACTATCCCTCGAAAACAAGATATTCTCGATACAAATGCACTCTCAAACCAATTTAGATTTATGGAGCTGAACTATGGGGTAACGCTTCTAAATCAAATATAGAAATTATTGAGAGGTTTCCATCTAAATGCCTGAGGAAAATCGTAAATAATCTCTGGTTTTCCCCAAAAGAATTAATCAGGAAAATCACCGACAACTAAAAACGATACTTACAGGAAATATCGACCATTGACTCCCGATGCACAAACAGATTATTAAATCATCCGGACCATCACCCGATTGAAAAGATATAAATGCTGAAGAATAATACGTCCTTCTTTATTTTCTATCTTTAATAATCCCCTCATCTCGCTAGAATTAAACTAATTTTCAAATTTATTCATTCATTACATAAGACTTTTACATGTTACTTCAAGCAAATATCAATGTATATAAAATTTATTTAGTGTCCCGTAGGACAGATCGTAAAATAAAGGAATAAAAAAAAACATGGAAAAATCTGCATCTGCAAACTGGCGATTTTTTGCAAGAAACACAAAACTGCAACCTCTAAAGTAATAGAAGCAGAAAAAACAGTTCATCAGAAGCTTTGGTAGTGTAAAATATCCGATAACTCAGAAACGGGCAGCAATATCCCATCAGCTATTAAGACGACTTCTCGCCTTTTTTGGGCGTTGGGGAAGATAAAAATGAAATATGTGTAAAACGAAGTTTTTTTTAAACCAACTACAAAAAAGAACAACAAAACATGTGAAAGAAGAAAAACAATGGACCGAAAACATAATTCGAAAAAGCACAGTGGAAGAGAAAAATTTAGCAGCTGGAAAACTGAATGTTAATCTACAGTGCGTCCCAGAAATACTGTTTAAATTCAGCGGGCTGTTTTTTTGGGAAAAAAAGGTTTTTTTTTGTAAATGTGATTTTTCGTATGCTTGCTCACTGTAGAATTTTCCTCTTGCTTTCACTCTTTGCACCATTGATTTCGCGTTTTCACTTTTCCATTTGTTCTGTTGAAGTTTTGTTCTTTAGTACCGATATTGAACGGCTTTAAAGGGACTAATTAAGCAAATAAAACCAAGCAAGACTAGAAAGATTAAAAAAATGGCACAAAGAAACGAAAATCGTACATAATGGTTTTCTACTATTAGGAAGCGTTTGGGGGTTGGAAATAATAGGTTTGTACCTGATATCGATAATTCCCATTCCATTGGTGTTAATGCTACCATTGTTACATAGATAATATGGCACGCAAGTACAGCTAGCAGTTCCACTAGTTCCTCCAGTTCCACCAGTTCCTCCAGTTCCACTATTTCCGCTGTTGCTGTTAATGTCGGGAGCTGCTGTGGTAATAAGTGTTCCAAATATGTCCTGGATCGTTTGGCTCAGATTGCCTATAAAAAAACATTTATTAATCACAATAACGTAATTTTTTATTGTAATTTTGATTTTGATTTTTAATAACGCTACTTTTTTAAAACAGATTGTGTAAACACAGCTGGAAAAAATCGTTTTGCAAACGGTACTTCACATCAATATTTTCGAGCTTTTTGCTGTTACAAAAGCATTTCTCCCTGGCGTTTCGCAAGCACGGACAGCTTGCATTTTCAGGAAACGACAGGAAAAAATTATTTTCCACGCCCTAAAAACCCCCAAAAATAATGATTTTTTAATGCGTCTCATTTTCTTTGACTGTCTTTAAGTAGTGTTACTCAGGCATCGTAATGATAAACCTGCAAGATTAATAAGTATTAATAATTTCAAAAATGTTTGTGTTGCTTAGATTCAAATAATTATTAAAAAATTACGTCCATTTCTAGTAATAAATTTTAAAAGTTATTACAATTTTTAAATCACCAGAATATGGTATTAGGGTAAAATTATTGGCTAGATGGAACAATGAACAGTCAAAGAGCAAACTGATATTTTGTTAAATATACAAATCAATTGGAAAAACACAATGAAACAATAAAAAATATATATTGATACATAAACAGCACATTTCTTCATCAGCAAGCTGGGAAAACTATTAATTTAAATGAATATTTATGCAACCGTTTTAATATAATAATAAGGTAAGGTAAGAATACCCTTTGCTTACCAATTCTCTTCATAAATTGTAATTATTATTATGTTCTTCCTCCGTTCCTGGGTTTCAGTGAAAGTGTAAAATAAACATTTTTATATCGTTTATTTCATAACGTTTCGGCGAGACAACAGCGCCATCATCAGATTTAAAATTCATACAAACTCATAATTGGGAAACAGTAGATTCTTTTAGGTCTTTGCTGTCTTGAAACCTCAAATTTGTTCGAATTATTATTATTACGCAGTCAGAAAAATAAATCAAAATAAATTGTAATATAATAAAAAATAATTGCAATCATCAATCCACCGAACATACAAATTAAATAACAGGAAAATTCGAACGCATTGACAAAACTTCTCGGGTCTGAAAATTGAAAGAGAAGAGTACCATGTACGAATTGTAACAAGAATTATGCAGGAATTATACGGACAAGATAAGAGTGTCTTAAAAAAATATTCAAATTAGTCTGAAACAGCGAAAAACGTACCCATTAACAAAAAAAACGTTTGTCTGGTTCCAATAGAGAATATCAATATACAATTGTTGGAAGTTGTTTATAAAATACAATCTCAGAAAATTAGTTTTAAAATAATTTAATGTGAAATTTATAATTTATAATATCAAATATTTAAAAAAACGTATGTTCATATTTCATTTACTGTCTCTTAATCTCCATGTCTTCCATCAAACAAATTTAGAGATTTAATTTTAATCAATGTTCAAGTATCAGTAATTAGCCCACCAATTAAGTCTCCAAATAATTAAAGACAATAAACTTATTTTTCAATTGATTGCATTTTATAAATATAATTTATCATAAAATTAAAAATCAACTTTGCAATTACGAAACCAGCAAAGAAAACAAATTAAATTTACAAAAAAACAACTCAAAACTGTATTAAATCTTAAAAAAGGTAGTATCTAATGTCCTCTATGTATATGACCATGTAATAATTATAGCTAAAATTATCAACAATCACTTATCACAATGTGGAAACACATCAACGCACCTATCATCAGCAAAGAATTAAATGAGATTTAAACAACGAAAATAATTATTTACTAGAAAGATTTTTGCTAAGAAATAAAATAAAAATTTTGTTTATTTATTTTCAATATACATACAATTATTCAGAGTCATTTATAAAATGCTGTCAGAGATGATTGATTTCATATTCATTTATAATATGAATTTTATTTGATTTGATTAATAATATCAAATATTGAATAAGCGCTTTTGCATGTTTTAACTTCATTTTTCAATTTAGATTGTACTTTATGAATAGCTACTAGAAGATTTTTAAAAGGCCACTTTCATAATAAAATAAATTGTGACCGTGCTTAGATGCAGCACTTTCAGCCAATTTATAATCATTTTTCCAATTTTTAATTTTTTTTATTTATTTATTTATTTCTTTATTTCAAATTACATTCTGATACATGCACATGTATAAAGAATACAAAATGAAATGGCGTTAAAAAACAATTGACAAAGGACATATTATACTAAAAGGTACTGTTGTTACATATTTAAATAGTCTCTAATACTATAAGCTCTAACTCAATTAACATCTGTTTTAATTTATTCTTAAATAATTTTTCAATTCTCACTTTTTTAATGTTGTTTTCTAGTTTATTAAAGAATTTTATACCCATATAGTACGGACTCTTTCCAGACAGTGTTAGTCTGTGTGTTGGATACAAAATGTTTCCCATGCGGGTGCTATGATCCTGGTTAACGTTGTTATCGTGTAAATATGTACTCTTAAAAACACATAATATTACATCAAAAATGTACAGACCGTACACGGTTAAAACACCCTTTGATTTAAAAACCCCTTGACAAGACTGCAAAGGAGACATTCAGTAGATAGTCCTTAGTATACGTTTTTGTACTGTAAATATATTTTGAGTCCTCGAGCTACTCGCCCAAAAAATTATTCCCTGCCTAAGTGTTCCTTCAAAGTTTGCGAAATACAGGGCCTTGCGTGCCGTTTCATTCAGGTATCTTGAAACATTTCGGATACAAAAACAGATTTTATTTAATTTCTTACTAAGGTAATCAATATGCTAGCACCAGTCTAAAAATTCATTAATATAAATCCCCAAAAACTTTGTGCTACTACCTACTGCAATTTGTAGCCCTTCAACAACAATGGTGTCTGGTTTCTGATTTTTATTTAATTTGGTTCTAAACAGTAATATGTTTGTTTTTTTCTTTATTTAAGCATAACACATTTTTTCCAAACCATCTTTCTGCCGATGTAAACAAAGTAGTGGCATTTCCCACGAGTTTAGGGATTGTTTT